GGAGGCGGGGTATCACGACTTGAGCTCCTCTTCATGTTGTTGCGGATCTTGACTGTGATTTTGTGCCGATCGTCCCGCGGAATCCCAATCATCAACGCTGCTTGCTGCTTGCACCGCAGCTCGACGTGGAACAAGAGAAAAGAATGTGACGCGGGACAGGGATATGAAAGAAGGAAAAGGAGGAGGAGAAGAGACGAACGAGAATGAAATCCGTCCAAGGATTTGCTAGAAAACCGCTTTTTTTCCTCGGAGAACGACTATTTCTCCGCTGCACGCTGTACTTCGCCTGTTTGCGATGCAAAGAGCGAACAAAATGGCGCCCAATCGCGCCTATTGTTACCGTCACCGTCGTTGTCGTCGTTGTCGCCGTCACTGGCGCCACCATCGCCGCGCGTGGCTTCCGCTCGTGACGACTTCCGAGCGCGCGATTTGACAACTCATTTCGATCTGAAAAAAAGGAAAGGAAAGCATGTGGCCCAGAGTTGGGCAAAATATCATAATTAAAATATTTGAAATACAAAATACTTTCAAATGTTTTATTTGAAATATAAAATACTTTTTCTATCTCTTTATTATGATAATGTATAATGTTAAACTTTTTCAATAAAGCTAAGCGTTACAACATTGCGAGAAAACTTTATTTCGCTTGCATTAGAGTTTCTAGAAGAGGCAGTAATTCTTATTTCTTTCTAACATTCACTCTTTAATTAGACAGAGCATAAATATATCATTAAAGTATTTAAAATATAAAATAGAAAATATTTTTATGTACTTTGAAATACAAAATACAAACTTTCTTTCGAATATTATATTTCAAATAAAAGTATTTAAATTGTGCCCAACGCTGACGAGGCTTAATGAGAACAAAATATTTTTTCTTTATTTTTATGTCATTGTTTTCTGACAATTTTAATTTACATCGCCACTGAAATTAAAAACTTTCGGCAATATTGTTAAAAATGAATAAAATTTATGTTAATTGTATTTCTAGCGTATATCTATTTTTTAAATATGATTTTCATCGTATTTCTCGCATTGATTTTGCTGATAACAATCAAATAAATATTCGTATATCTGTGAAATAAATTTTTCTTACACAATAGTTATGAATTCATCCATTATTGAAAGAAAAATCGTGGAAAGAATTTATTTCGCTACACAAATTATTTCGATATAAAAATTATTCGTCTATTATTAGCAAAAATACATAAAATTGACGTAAATTATATCTTCTAAGGTGTATCTATCTTTAAAATTTAATGTGAGAAACACATTAAATTTTAAAGATAGATACACCTTAGAAGATATAATTTACGTCAATTTTATGTATTTTTAACAATATTATCGAAGTGGCCTTTTAATTTACAGCAGCAATGCAAAGAAAAACAGGATGTCCAGCGATAGCTGATCAATTCAAAAACAATTTCAGGACATTCTAGGTAAAAATCCTGGTTCTTCCAAGTCAATTAATTTTCATTGATTTCAGTTAATTAATTTTTATTGATTTGCGCAAAATATATGAGGAGTAGGTTTTCAAAATGCATTTTGTCCAAAATTTTATTTCTTGAGTTAGAAATGGCATAGTGTTCAGTATTGAAAAATTCATATTTTAAGTTACTAAGATTTTCTGAAAGCATTTTTTCATCATTAATTTATGTGCTATGAAAAAAGTCTAGACATTCAAAGTGTACTATGTCATTTAAGTAGAAACAAACAAATGCATTTGTTTAATATTATTAAAAACAGTTTAGCAATTTTGTTTAACATTTTACATCTTACTGATCAATAAATTGTTATTTTCTGTAAGGCGTGGTTTCCTTGTGATTTTCCTTCTCTCCTTTTCTAAAAATTATAAATTTTTGACAAAACGTATTTTGAAAGTCTGTTCCTTATATGTTTTGTATTCAAGTTAGAATCCTATATGAATTTTAATTAAAACGCAAATAAATCTGAAACAATATTATTTAATGCTTTATAAATAAACGAACATTCAACACAAACGATAATCTCTCTGCTATATTCTATTTTACAATTGTAAACATTAATTCAAAGTTTTCTATTAGTAACTTACATTATTGCATCTTTAAGCGAGGGCTTATATCCAAACAATACTTTTCTTTTTATTAACATGTCACGAACATTACCTTATAAAATTATTAATTTATTGCTTCATTAAATTATTAATCTAATTTTTAATGTCCGCAGTTGCTTTTAAAGCTTCATCTAATTAAAATGATCACAAAATTTATCATTACATATTTCTTGTGCACGCGCGGAAAATATTTCTTATTTCTTTCTTTTTTCCAATTTTTTTCAACGAAAGAATGACAAAAATTTCAAATCAGTCCTGAAATTGTAGGAATTTTTCAAGATACATTAAATTCCAGGATTGTTCCAGGATTCAAAAACATTCAAGGATAGCTGGACACCCTGAAAAAAAAAGAGAAGAATTGATGAGTAAGAATAGTCAAGGATGATCAAAATAATGCTCAACAAGTCAAAAGTTCTAAAATATTCGAATTTTATTAATCGTTGCAATTAAACTTTCGTATAATTTATTATAATCAAATTTTCAAAATGTTCTACATTCAATATATGTAGACTAGAAAAATAATATTATTTGTACGTATGTACACAAGATTAAATTCGCAAATTTCTACAAAAAAATACTTGTACAACGAAAAAATACTGTAGAACCAGACACCACTATTTTAACAGAGTATTATTGATAATAGGTAATCGCGTGCTTAAAATATTTGGTAACATAGAATAACTTAAAGATAGTTTCTATACCTATATAAAACAATCCACAGCAGCTGCCAATTTAATCACGTTTAGTTCGTTTGTCATGATGCTTTAGAGTAAAATATTTGAGAATATTGCTAACATTGGAAATAGACGATCTTAATTCATTTTAGGATCATAATCATATGTATTCGATTGATAATCTTCTTTGACTTTAATACATTTGATATTAATAAATTAATATCTCTTGGATAAATTAGTGTAGTATATCATTTTACGAAAGATAAGGCAAAGAGAAATTGAAAATTTGACAAATAAACGAGTATATGCGAGCAAAGTCTAAGGTCCGTATTCAGAACGCGCTTTTATTGATAAAAGTGCGCTTTTATTTTTGAAATTTTATAACATGCATAACATAAAGTATAGTATATTAGCGCGTTAACATCATTGTAAGCGCGTTCTGCGAATACGGGCCTAAATATATTTACAGATATCTTACCTAATTAATAATATATAAAATGTAACATAATTATATAATATCACATATGTAATATATAATTACTACATATTATATAATATGCAACATAATTAATTGTATATTATATATTATATATTGTATGTAATATTATATAATATATATTTAACGCACATATTATATTATTGAATATATTATTTTATAATACAAAGTTTGATTAACATTTAGTATAATTTAATGTAATTAGAATCGATCTCATATTTATTGTTCGATTATAAGTGTGTTTGGGGAAACATCATTAACGCTATTTGTGTCATTCTATCATCATTTTGCGTCTAATAAACAATGAGGATAGAATGACACAGCGTCTCTCAGAACGCACTTTTATGACATATTTTATTGTTTTATCCAGAACAATTGATATTTAAAAAGTAAGAAAAGTTTTGCACGCAATACCAAAAATTTTATATTTTCAAAAGAGATGTATTACGTAAAATAACATGTTTTTAAATATTAATAATTTCATACAAAAATAACATTTTATATATATATATATATATATATATGCTAAAATAGAAAGTAAAATAAATATTGAAATAGCTTTATTGTAGTATTACAGATATTAAGCATTTGTGTAAAAGATGGCTAATTATATCGCTAATTAAAATTGGCAGTTGCTATGTGTATAATTTATACTTAAAGTCATTGGCGTGATGATAAAAGTTAAAACTCGTAACAAGAAAACGAGGTGACTAATTACAATCTTATATTGGATAATTATTATTGAACAGTCTTAAAAGTTGCATTGAGGTCACTCGACGAATTGTTTACATTCATCTAGCTTATATAACAAGAGCAGCAACTACAAAATAATCGTCAGAGCTGTTACTCATGTTTCATCGTCTTATGCAGACTCTTTATTTTAATTACGACTCATCACTATCAATGTGAACCGCTTCTGTGGCTACCTCAGGAAGAGGCGGAGGAGGAAGAGGAAGTATGGAATTATTACCGTCCGATGATGTTGACGTTTGTGCTTCTTTGTCCGTTGGCGATTTTGAATTCTTATCATCTACTTGCGCTGGACATTCCAAGTGAACGCAATGAAACACCTACAAACATTCTAATCATTTATCTGTTACATCTCATAAAAAAACATATCAAAATAAATAATCTGATTAGGTACAAACCTCATTTGCAGTATTGTGAACACCTACTATTTTTATAAAAACTACTGGACGGGGCGCAAAACGTATCGTCTGCCAAGATTTACAGGTTTCTTCGCTTTTATCAGCGACTGATACCCAATTCCAGGAATTGCCTGATACTTCTATATAATATGAGTAGGAGCGATCATCACAATCCCAAAGTAGTAATCTATTGAAAATAGTTAGAGAGTTAGTGAGTTAATTGCAGTGACATGATATATAAGCACACAAGTATGTAGGAATCATACCGCATTGATCCTATCATATATGGCTGGCCTAATTGTACTAAAATAGATCCCGAACCAAGTTGATGGCACGTATAACCACTATCCCAATCGTAATTAGATGTATCTCCATTTAATAAATTATTACGTGACCTAAGATTTAAAAAATAAAGTTTGAAAAAAGATAAGTATATTTTATATATATATATATATATATATATGTGTGTGTGTGTGTGTGTGTGTGTATATATATATATGTATATACATATATATATATACACACACACACACACACACACACACACATATATATATATATATATATATATACACACACACACACACACACACACATATATATATATATATATATATATATATGTGTGTGTGTGTGTGTGTGTGTGTGTGTATATATATATATGTATATACATATATATATATACACACACACACACACACACACACATATATATATATATATATATATATATGTGTGTGTGTGTGTGTGTGTGTGTGTATATATATATATGTATATACATATATATACACATACAATGTAATATTTATTAAAATATTAATAGTCCAGAAAACTCACCTTATTTACTGTATTATTTGTTCCTACAATACGAATATAAAGCACTACCCTTGGTTCAAAATATAAATACTGCCAACTGCGACAATAGTAATCTTTGTAATTGACAAGCATGACCCAATCCTTTTGATTCATAGATCCCTTTAATAAAATATCATATTAAAATAATAAGATAAAAAAGATCTGTTTATATATTTGTACAATATACGTAATATTTTATTATTGTGGCAAAATATTCATACCTCTATATAATAAGAATAAGATCGCAAATCTAAATCCCATAGCAACATTTTTATATGATTTATAATATACTGTGATCCTAATTTAATGAGAATTCCATACTCTTCCGTGTTAGATATGGTATGCCTTGTGTAACCACGTTCCATATCATAATTGTGAACATCACCATTAAGTAGATAGCTACGCATTTCTCCTTGTAATACTTGAGCATCAAGAGACGAATCAGCAACATTTTCGTCGATGAGCAAATGGCCACGATACGGAAGTTCTGAATCAGGTGTTTGCGTCTGTACAGCGATTGCATCCAACAGTGCGTCTGGCGATATTAATTGAGACGGTCTTACTACACTTAGAAGATCTGACAGCGGAATCAGACTCAATCTGAGTTGAGCTGTAAAAATCATACGTGTTTAAATAGCTTCATATTTTGGGGAAAAAAAAATTACATTGCTTAATCATCGAATTATATGAAAATTACCTAGCACTTCGGTTGAATCAACATCGGGGTTGTTATTAACCCACAATCGAATAGCTGAAAAAATTTCTATTTCCGGCGCGCAGAAAGAATCTCTGGAAATCAATTCAGTTAGAGCAGCTGAACTCAAATGTAGAAAACTCTCATGTTGTACAACTTCGGATGCATGCACGTCCATGTATTCGAAGCAAACCTGAAATTGAGTCACATAAATACTAATTGATAAATTATCATAGATTTTAATTACATATATAAGTTACAATATATACATTAGGCGGAAGTTACAAAATAAGGATGCATACACAATACTAACATTAGTTAGAAATTCCATATGATATAAAAATGCAGTATCCAGAATTGAACATATATTCTTTATGCTTAATATCTCTTTAAGGTAATCAGATATAGCTGATTCTAAATCCATAAATCCATATAAATGCGCTAAAGCTAGGATATCAAGAATGACCTGTAACAAAGAAAATCAAAGCAAAATAAAAAATAGATCATTTTTTTGTCCTTAAATAATTAATTCAGTCATTTGTATTATACTAGATCAGTGTGTATTAAAAAACTGTTTTATATCTAAATGCAGTAGCATAATAATTGATTTTGTATTTGTATTATTTGAGATTAAAGTTAATCTTACATTGATAAAACTGAGTCTTATGTCTTTTCTATCAATGAAGATTAACTTTAATCTTCGTTTAACATACCTTTTATCTTTTCTTAATTCTCAAAATAAGAAAACAATAAAGAATAATTGAAACTATTATTTGAGATTAAAGTTAATCTGCATTGGTAAAAATGAACATTAGTCTTCACTAATCTAGTAGTTGCTTTCTAATTATTTCAAAACTTAGATAATTCTCATTTGACGTCATAACTCAGTTAAATGTACATTCCTTTTCACTGTGACAAATAAAATTCAACTGAGTTTTTACTTACAATCTGTATAAGCCAAAGACTATGTGCTTACTGAATTGTTAACTCACATTAAAAATGAGATTATAAACCTATATTATTATACCATAATTTTGTCGTCAAAGAAAGCAAGTAATATTATCTCAATATAAAATATACAAATTCAGACTTCGTATCACTTATGTGAAAATAGAAAGCAACTAGTGTAATGCAAGTAACTGAATTCGCTAAAAGATGATTCAAAAGAGCGTTACCTCATCCCGCTCGTTAGTGAGAGACATCCGGCCGGTATAAATGTACTTGAGCAAGCCTTTGAAAGCGTGCAACGAAGATACAGTTAATTCTATTTCACTCTGGGTCGACTCTTTCATACCTCCGAACAACAGAGCACGAAAGTATTCGCTACGTGCGGCAAGAATAAGTTTGTGGCAACGGAATTTTTGACCTGCCACTACTAAAGTTACATCTGCATACTCCTCAGACAGGTACAATGCCTCGATATCCTCAGAGACAAAGTGAATATGATTTATCTCGCCGGATGATGAATTCAGATGATGATTTGAACTCATTTTCGTTGAGCACGCTAGGTACACTCGTGCCAAACTTCCCAGACTGCCGTCAAAACAAATTACAATTGTCACAACATCAGCGACTTGCTACTCGCCTGTGACTGCGTGTTGTAACCAACAACGAGATTCCGCTCAACAGCTCTTCACAGAGTTTGCAGCAGCCGCACGTGTCGATCGCATTTAGTTGAGCAGCGATACGATGTGAGAGAATAATGTGAAAGGAGTAAAACTCGTTTAATGTGTTAGCGGAACACATATGTGTGCAAAAGTAATGTTGATCGATGAAAGTGACGAGAATACAAACGTGTCACGTAAAAATTATTACATCTCGTACGATCTGATGTCTTGTCGAGCGAATACAGCCACCTTATGTTACAAGTCTCTCCATTATATTCTCATAAGACGCGTAAAAGAAAGGAATTCCAGCAATTTTCACCGCCACTATTTTCTGCTATTGTCACTATCGATCGAATTTTTCGAAGCTCATGTCACCGACGAGATACGTTAAAGATCGTCAACCTTGAGTAAATTTTCATAACTATCAAAAAGGTCCCCGAGGGCTCGGTGGTAATTGAAGAGTTTGATATTATCAACTGCTTTGGCTGTACCGACATAACACTCGATCAATGTCGATAGTACAGATTTTTTTAATTCCAAATAAAAAGTCCATAATTTCTTAAAGTTAAAATATTTTATATAAAAATATTAATGTATTAATAATATTATATGAATGAATAATGTATATCATATTTCAATACACACTGCTAGCACTGAATCTATTTCAAAATCTTGTATATTTAAAGTGAACTATAGACTTTCAGATAAGGGCAATTAAATATTAATTAGGTATTAATACGGCTTTATATTATATTATATTATATTTATATTATATTTATATTATTAAAAAATTTGTTTTATTGAAATTTATATTATATCATGTGGGATATACAATAGAAATTGATAAAGGATATCTAAAAACGAAAAATGTTAGAGTAGATAAGTTAGCTGAAATTAAAATTGTATCTACTACAGTAGATTTATAAAACAAAGCTAAAAGACACAATTTTTTAATATTTTAATTTTTTACGAATGTATCTCTTTTTTTATGTTTCTTTAATTAACTAAAATTTTAATTCTCCGTAGAAGTTATTTGGGAATTACAGTTCATTGGATTAATTTTCTCAAACCTTACAAAGTACTATTAACTTGTCGAAGAGTGAAAGAAAAGAAAATATGATATTTTAATAAAAGCTATTCTCATTTTTTTAATATCATAAGTGAAATAAAATATGTTGCAACTGACAATGGTATAAATTTCGTTAAGACATTTCGATATGTTTCATAATACTGTATATATTTGCTGTATATATTTTATTACATATTTGTATTACCGAGTTACGATATTTCTTGCGTTACATATTTTTAATACATAATCTTATAAATTTTTAGAACTTTTGAAAAACACGAAAGTGATGATAAATCTGTAGAATTTCACGATGTAAATGAATTATTGAATATGAATGATACAGAGAAAATAAAAAGAAAGAGAAGATTTTATTACTCTTCCACGGCATCATAGATGCGTAATAAGATATAACGATACGTTAAATCTTATGCCATTGTATTTGTCATTCGCTTAATCGGCTTGATAATGCATCGTCTAAAACGGCTAACATCAAATTTAGATTTTCTTTATGGAGAAATTTACGCATGATTCAGTCACAGTTCAGTAGAAAAATAGAATATCAAAGATTATACGATATTTTAAATAATGGTGAAATCGTTTCACAATTTCGTACAGTTGTGTACTACACGTTGATTGTGCAGATATAACGTAATAAATGTGTTATTAGAACAATGAACTAAAAACATATTTTGTAATTGTTAACAAAAAAAATGTTACACAGCAAGAATGCTAAACGGAATATTACATGACGAAGTTAATTACTTGTATCTGATCATTCTTAAACTAGTTCTTTACGAATTAAATAAAGTAAATTGCATTTTCCAATTAAATTATGTAGAAATCGATTGAGGACATAAAAAGTGTATTTGTTATAGCTAGAAAAATTTTAAAGTTTTTGTTTGTAGAAAATATAAATAATATTATAAAAAATGTTCAGTTGACACTGAAAAACTTGTATACATGGAATCAAATGAATTTGAAGTAGAGTATTATAAATATTATCGTAAAGTAAAAGCATCTGTATCAAAAAGTGATATAAAATATAAAATGTAGAACGACAAATTATCTAAAGAAGTTATTATAGGAATTAATAAAAAAGAAGTTTAACAATATTATGTACTTGTATAAGAAGACTGATGTAGAAAATAAG